GCGCCTGTGACAGGGACCCGGGTTGTATGGGGGATCCGAACCGCCGGCGGGAGCGCCGCCATGCTCCCAAGCGGCGCACTGTAGCAGTGCGCCACCGGGCTGGCCCGAAAATACACTTTTCCAATATAAAACTTATACGTGACTCAACCTGTTCAATTGCTCCCTGCAGTAGGTCATTAAAATGTTAAACTACTCATCTGTACATGGCTCTTCCAGTTTCTAGAATACAGGAATGGATCTCTTTTTCAAGCAGCATGGTAAGAATTTGTAACAGGGCAGATAATTCCCACCTCATAGGATTGTGAAGATTACACGGGATTATGAAAAGAGCTAGCAAGAATTTGAATTGTGTGGGCTAGAAAGATGGTAATCAGGAGCCAGGAGTTCAGCTACCTAGCTTCTGTATTTCACTCTTACATGTGAATTGAGGGATTAATAATGGTCTTGTAAGAATAATAATAAATATTTTTTTATACTTTCTCGGTACCAGATACTATTATAAGCACATAAGTATGTGAATTTATCTAATCTTCATGATGGTGTATGAGGTTGACACTACTGCCATCATCTCCACTTTAGGGGAAAATGATGCTCAGACAGGTTATATAACTAGCCAAAAATCCCACAGCTGCAAGAGCTGAAACCAGGATTGCACCTAGGCAATCTGACCTCACTACTGTGCTCTTAATATTGGGACCTCACTTTCTCTTTCAAGGGAATTTCCATCATGAATGCTTCAGGGCTAATGCTTATTTTACTGAAGTCTAGTGCCTTACTTAGTCCCACTGACTATACTCTTGCTTAAAATGAGTAACCCAGTTGTCTTCCCCTCTTAACTTGTTTGGAGGCAGTTCATAATGCATAACTAGTACCTAGTAAGTAGTAAAAGGCAACCGGGTTGATTTCAAGTGAAAAGAGTAAGAAGTCCTTTTGCTCTGTTCCTTTTTCTTTCTCTCCAGTCCTTTTCCCACCCAATTCTACTTCCTCCTCCAGGATATTAGTAAGGACTTTCCCCTGAAGCACCTTGATTGGCTAACAATGGACGAGGAGAAGGGAACACCCTTAAGCAGAAGGACAGTTACAGGGGTGGCAAACTGTTCCCAGTGTGTACTTCTCTGTTGACGCCTTATCACCTTAGAGTGAATAGCAGCTGCAGATGAATTCACAGAGTACCCAAGAGCTCAGCCTGTACACGCAGACCATTCACTGTCATAGGCACACCAAGAGGTGCATTCTGCAGTATGAATATTCCAGTAGACAGTAGGGATCTTCAGTTCTTTTCTGGAAAATAAAAGTAGGGAAAATCCAAAACAGTGACCAGCTTAGCTACAGTTTCCCCAGATGTCTATCAGGTATCAGCTGTATTATTACCAGATGGATGAGAGTGATTTTCACACAATTGAATAACAATAGTCATCTTTTATTGCCACCCTTGAACATTACTCTGATCCTCACATCAATCCTACTTACTTTCCTCATCTTATGGATGAGAAAACTGTTCAGGGCCAACCCCGTGGCTCATTCGGGAGAGTGCAGCGCTGGGAGCGCAGCAGCTTTCCCACTGGTTCGGATCCTATGTAGGGATGACCGGTGCGCTCACTGGCTGAGCGCGGTGTGGGCGACACCAAGCAAAGGGTTGCGAACCCCTTACCGGTCACAAAAAAAAAAAAAGAAAAGAAAACTGTTCAGAGAGGTTAAATAATTTGTCCAAAATCATACAGCCAGTACATGGCCAAGCCTGAATTTGAAATATGAACTAAAAGAAACTTCCTTCCTTCAATATCAGAAAGATTTAGAAAACTATTTCATCAGTATAAATAAGGTGGGGAGGTAGGGAGAAATACAGTTTTTTATTAAACTACAAAGTGGAAATAGTATGGAATCCCAAAATTAAGGTCATGTTCTTATCTACTGCCTTTTTGTACCTCTGTACTACAGTGTACTGGAAAAGGGGTAGATTTTGAGCATCAGCACTACTGGTTATGAAAAGATAAATTTACTAACTTAGAAACTGGGGAATTGCAAAGCTAGGGTTTACAGACCCCTCTAGTCTGTTGCACAGACTGGGTCACAAACTGCCCCCATGCAGGTCTGTGAGCTAGGTAATAGAAAAAAAAGGTCCTGGGAGCCGTGGGTATAGAAAAGTGAGTGGGCTTTATTCACATCTAGGAGCAACTCTCCTAGTGGCTTCTCTGAGAGTTCTGAGAAGCACTGCGGATCAGAGCTGTTAGTCTTTTATACTTAAGTCCGTAACCCTGGGCCCCTGGGTGCCCATACGCAATTACGTTAAGTAGTAACAAGGAATACCTGAGGATATTTACAGCAACTGCTGGGCAAGATTCTGAACATCTGAGGGGCCCTGACCATTTCCCTATTTATTCCCCAACAGGAATATTTAAGCCTATTTAAAATTCTGTATACCTACATAGGATTGCTAAGTCTTGGAAGAAAAAATGCATCTCCCTCAAATAGGACCAACGTCGCATTTGAAAACAGTTGATATATCCTTCATTAAGGTCCATTGATGGTTCTAAAGTATACTCATGATGGGTGAACTTGGGATAGGGATTGCTAAAAACCTCTCAGGTTCAACAAAAAATACTCCTGCCTCTAAAATGCCCTGGCTTTGCTGAACATTATCTCCAGGTCATTTGTGCATTGCTTTCTTTAGTTATTATACAGATCAGCACTTTCCAATGAAAAGATAGTTGAGTCACATACATAATTTTTAAATTTTTAGTAGCTATACCTTAAAAAGTAGAAAGATATAGGTGAGATTAATTTTAAGATATATCTTAACTCAATATATCCAAAATAATACCATGTCAACATGAAATGAAGATAAAAATTATCAGTGAGATACACTATTTTATTGTCTTCAAAATCTACTGTGTATTTTACATTTACAATAATATGTCAATTTGATCTAGCCACATTTCATGTGCTCAGTACTCGGTGAGTGGCTACCATATTGTGTTTGCATAGAGAAATTTCATATTATATATAGAAACTAGAAACAGGACATACTTCAGAGTATCTGTTCTTTATTTGACATTTTTATTTGAGAGATTTTCATAGTTATGTAGATTTAGGGAAGAGCTATAGAAGCATAGAAAATTTAAGAATATTACATTTTATGTCAAAACCCATAGTTGGATTTTATTCATTATAAACATAGTCATTAGTTTTAGAGATTACAGAAATGCCAATTTTGGATTTTGTTCGCTGATGGAAATCCTTAAGAGTGATTTTCTTTGGTAATGTGAACAGTGTAGATTATTGGAAAGCACTGAGTTCCAAAAAAATTCAAATGTTAATCTTTGAATATGTACCACTAACCCATCTATTAAGCTAATTTGAATTCCTGTTTTGTTTCTCTTCAGAAAATTGCTTCAAAGTTTAAAAAAATAAAATCTCAAATAGCTTTTTAAAATTTTGTATCTCTTAATATAAGTAGTCTTGGATATGAGTTACATTATGTAAACATAGTTTACTAGAAATTTATTGTAATACATTTTTATTAAAGAAATGTTATTTTGGCCCTCTTAGATAAGTCATTACTTGAAAAAAGAATATGAAAAAGATGAGAAGCCACGTGACAAGTCATATCAGAATGCAGTTTTAGAAGATATTTTTAAGAAGAATGACCATGATGGTGATGGCTTCATTTCTCCCAGGGAATACAATGTACACCAACATGATGAACTATAGCATATTTTTCCTACATTTTTTGAGCGGCTTTCCGTATTTGATATATAAACAAAGTTATTTTTCTGCAAGTTGTATTTTCTGTTTTTCCCCCATGAGAAGATATTTCGATCCCCTCAATACGTGTGATTTTGATGTAATAAATGTGAGACTCTGCAAATTTAACTTTCAGGAAAGGTATGATTGTGTTTCCTGTTGCTTTATTCTGTGAACACAAATTGCAGCACCATGAAATAGACCTCTGTGTCCCAGTGGACAGTTTTCCCCCTTCAAGATATA